TATTAACCTATTTTTATTATAATATTAGTGATATTTACGAACTTTATTATGATATTAGTCATATTTAATTTTTGAAAATTCAACAAATTAGCAATTAATGGTCCTTGATTAATCCCCGTCTAGCCGATTTATCCCTTAATCCTAGTCCATCGACTAGCTAATGTCGAACGTTTTTTACAACTTTGATTATATATATATATCTATATATATATATATATATATATATATATATATATATTATATATTATATATATATATATAAGAAAAAGAAAAATATAAATGAGTAAAATGGTCTTTTAAATGGACTAAGGATGTGTAGTGCAATTTTTTTAAACCACAGGGATGTATTTTGTCAAATTTTCAAAGATTGTACTAAAAGTACGAATTTGACCAAACAACAGGGACCAAAACCTGTAATTTACTCTAAATATAAAGCATTAATGTATTGTAATTTGCAAGAAAAGAGAGAAACTTAGACGTTTGCTGGATTGTTTCTTAAATACCCCTCCTCAATTCAACAAGAAGCGTGCCTGTTCAAATGAAAAGCCACAGTTAATTACTACTCTTTGTGTATTGCTAGTTCGAGGATTTGCAGGTCTTCGATCATCAGGATTCAAGGATGGCTGAAACAATTACGTTAATGGTTTTCTCACGACAAGAATTCAAACTTGTGAGATGACTTAACAAAAACATGTGGATTTTATGCTTTTTTATTTAATTTGAAGTTTATAGAAAAAGGGTTTATGGGCGAGTTGACTCGGAGGTTGTCGGTGAGATACCTACGGACTAGTTTGAAGTTAATGCTAGCCGTTAAAGTTGGAAGTGGGAACCGCATGTGTATTGTGTCCATCACTAACCGAACCAATTGGTGACACGTCCTTTCAAAATTTGAAAACTAAAATTTATTCTTTCATTTTTTTTTTGGGAAACGGCCAATTCAAAAGAGGATAAATAATATCTCTAAATAGTATATCTCATCTTTCTATTATATATAACGTTAAGTTTGTGATATGTCGAAATTATCTTTGTTTGTTTGTAATATCGAAAGTTTGCTTGTATTTTATTTTATGGATTACTTTAGTAACGAAGTTTAGATGTCGAATGTCTTTATACTTTTTGTGCTTTTAGTTTTCCCTATAAATATGGGAATGATATTTTTAGAGGTTAATAACTTTTCTCTGATTGTAATCATTTTCTCTTTACTTTTTGTATTCAACTGATCAAACAATACAGCGTGCCAAACTGGTTATATTTAGATTTGCTGTTCTAAATCATTACATACTCTGATTTTGTTTCATTACTCGATTCAATCGACACTTCAATTGGTATCAGAGCGGGTCTTCGAAGATCAACATGATTTTTTGAAGAAACGATTCTCGGTTTGGCTACATTCATCACAATTGGAGCATTTATGGTGAGTCTCTCTATGATCTCTAAATCTCTTTGATTCGTACTTTTCGTTTTTCATTTTTGATCGTTTTGTCTTGGTTGGATCGAATTCATTTCAAGCCCAATTGTAGATCCAATCTGTTTTCTTTCATAGATCAAGCCCAAACCAAAATCAAAATTATATTCTCAAAATTTCATTTCTTTCGAATTTTTTTTTTAGCCCAATTGTGTGACAAAATTGATCAAGTTACTGTCATCAAAGGCCAAAAATCAATTAAATTCAATAGTACTCTTCATATTCAATTGAAAAACAAAGTTGTATTCCTAATTGATTCATGTCGTCTGTCTGATTCACATATTTTGTCGGTTCATATCATTTAATCGAGATCTAATTTCACGATTATTCTGATTAAAACTTCACTTCGTTTATGTTCAAGTGTTTTGTTTTTGATTTTTCTCTCGTTGTATTCCATTCATCAAGAATTTAATTCAAATCGGTAAACAAAATTGATTCAAATTGAAAACGGAAATCGATTGCTCATTTATTCATTTGATTTTCACATTGGATGCTTGGATTTGTATTTCTCATTGAAATCAAGTCGACTTTGATTATGTGTCATTGAACTTTTTGAGAAATGAGATAATTTTCGAAACAGGCCCTGTAGTTAATGCGAATTGACGCTTTCTACCCAGTTTTGCAAATGGGGAAGTGTTTCGTATTTTTGGCTGTTTTGGGCGCACCGGGTCACTGCAAAATTTTAAAAATTGACAATTTCTACCCAATTTTGAGAAATTTTGTCAAAGGCTGTCCGTGAACAAAGCTAAAAATTGAAGATTTTTTGGATTTTCCGGATTAAAGCAAAATGTTTATGCCATGTGTTAAGGGGGAGTTTTGGATAGAAAAATTCCGAATTGAGCGCCTTCTCATTCCCTTTTTGGTTTTATAATCATTCTTTGATTATAAAAAGGGGGAGAGATTTAGATATGGAAATTCGAAAGATGAATTTTTCATATTACGCGAACTTGAAGACCGAAGTGACCTCGATTATTTGAAGTTCATGAGATGATTCGATTGGAGATTCGGAAGTGGTTTCGCTTCATGATGGGTTTGGACTTATTGAAGATTTTTGGAGTGTGCTTTTATGCTCAAACTTAGGTAATCTTTTGGAGATTGAGAAACTCCTAATTACCTTTTTTGATGCTCGGTTCGTATGGTCTCACATTCTAGAACCCAAACTGAATAATCATAGAAGAATTGAAGATTTGATGTTCATCTCTACTTGTGTCATGTTTGAGGCTTGGTTCGTGAAGTTGCTCGAGTTTGGAAGATTTGAAGCGGATCATCCATTCCTAACTTTGAGGGGGAGAATGTTGGGTACAAAGTTATCCATGTATGACTTTGTAAATGGTTTGACTTTTGTAGACCCACTTGCATGTGGTAAATTAGCCTTGTGACATGAGAGATAGAGATAGAGAGAGAGAGGGAGAGAGAGAGAGAGAGAGAGAGAGAGAGAGAGAGATGTAAACACCTCTATATAAGGTGGGTTCATTCCACATGTAGAGGTGTGCTTAAGATATGTAACATTGAGAGTGTTAGTGTGTGTTAATTATGTAGATTTAGATCTAGATCCCTTTTTGTAACACTTTTCATAATTGAATGTATCTCTTAAACACCAAAATCACCATGTTCTTTAATTCCGCATGCCAAACCAATGTTCATAATTCACATCAGTATATTACAAAAATATAACAGGGATATACATGTTTATTCATATATGAATAGAAAAAAATATAGTAGGGATATTCAAGTTATTCATATATGAATATATTATATATGATAGGAATTTTATACCTTTGATATTTTTCCTCTTCAAATGTGTTTCTCTCATTGTTGTTGGCTCTTTATCATAAACTTCAATCTTCTTACCTTATACATTAGTGAGTAGAAGATAAATGAATTTAAAATACATTTTACAAAGAAACTATTTTATATTCATAAATGAATAAGTGAATAGAACATATATATCAATATTTATATATTCACATATGAATATATATGCTATATTCATATGTGAAGATACTGAAGATCAATCACCAATTTCAAAAGAAAAATGTTCCAAAACAAAACAACATAAAGGTATGAATAATCGTTTCCATTCACAGATGATTAGCTTTTGAATACAAACAAAACTAAGTCATATATATTTATTCATATATGAATACATGAATTCAATAGTTTTTTTTAATATAAAACACATCCAGGTTGAAGTATTCATATGTTAATAGAAGAAAATTATAACACGGATATACAAGTTATTCATAAATGAATATAACAGATATGATAGGAATTTTATACATTTGTCATTTTTCTGCATTGAACGTGTTTATTTCATTGTTAGTGGGTATTTATTAGAAATGTCAATATTCTTACCTTCATTCATTAGTGAGTTTCTGATAAATGAATTTGATATACATTTTACAAAGAAACTATTTTATATTCATAAATGAATATTTGAATAGAACATATATTCATATTTTCTATTTACATATGAATATATATATATATATATATATATATATATATATATATATATGTTATATTCATATGTGAATAGAACATATATAACTCATTTTTGTTATATTCATATTTGAATAATGTATATATGACACAAAATTATGTTCTATTCATATATGATATAACATATATAACTTAGTTTTGTTTGTGTTCAGAAGTAAACAAAACATATCAAAACAAAATTATCTTCAGTATCTTCATTTTCTGTTGTATTTTTAAGTAAAACCTCATCTAAATGTTGGCAATCACATATGAATAAAGTTAATCAGATCTAAATAGAATACCAATTTTATTTACCTTTTTCATTGGTTTTTTGTTTTCCGTTTATATATATATGCTTCACTCTTGTTGTTGTTTCTGTAAGGGTAAGTAGTTAATATTAGGACAACATAAGCGAAATGTGAAGTAACTTTTATATTTTAACAGAAAAGTTGTGAATAAGTATAAAAAATGAAGAGAATATATAAAATCTTTTATATATAAAACTAATAATGGATGATTATTACAAAAAATTCAAGTAAATCAACTAATAATGAAGGAGGATTACGAGAATGAACGAGGATTACAAAACGTACACGATATGGAATGGGGTTCACAAGACAATGAATACATGGATAATTTGCGTGACTAGATTGCGAATCAATTCGGGTCAAATTAAATTTGTAGGATTTTATTTGGATTTTAGTATGATTGTGTGGATTTAAAAATATTTATGTTTGATTTGGATTTGTGTTTAATTTTGATTTATGCTAAATTTGGATTTTATATAGTGTTTATATTTTTTTATACTTATTTAAGAAATTTATTAGGTTATTTTCTAAACAAACAGATGAATTCAATAAAAAATAAAACAGAAGGTAAAATAATCATTTTAATAATTCAGCACAACAATTCAGTGTCCCAACCAAACAAAATGATAAACATTCGACTCTTAAACTTTCGGACCATTTTAGAAATTTAGACAACCCTAAGTTTAAAGTATTAGTATTTTTTTAAATGTTATAATAATTAGACTAAAATCTAATGTTGAAGTATCAAAAAACATAAGCAAACAAGTAAAAAGAGAACATCTCTCAACTGAAACACAGCCTAAAACCCAAACTGTTACGATGATGGCAACTGAAACCCTAGATACTCCGACCAATGGCTCCACATCCAACGGCAAAGGTGAAACAAACCAACCGGAAGACTGCGCAACTGTCTCTCATTCTTCTCCAGATGCAAAACCAGTAGAAGATGGGGAACAAGGAGAAAAGCGTAAGAAAACCGAATCCGAAACCGTTGAGAAAACCACTTCAGTTCACCCTCTATCGAAGACGAGTCTCTGCTCTTATTTCAGGCGGACAGGCGGTGAGTGTAGCCACGGAGAAACGTGCCGGTATGCTCATGGGGAGGAAGAGCTCCGGCCACGACCAGATAATACATGGGACCCTACTTCCGAGAGGGCGAAGAAGTTGAAGTTAGAGAATGAAGATAGAGACAAAGCGGACGAAAGAGATGACGAAGTTATGATGACGGAAACGATATCAGAAGATGGATGCTCTGAGTCTGCGCTTGATAAGTGTTTAGTGAATCTTCCGATGAAGTGGAGTTCGGATAATTTACGGAACTTTCTCAACGAGCAGGTGAATTCTTCTCTCTACTGCATTATTGAATTTTGAAGGTTCTGATTGATAGTGGTGATCTCTTTTTACTGATACGAGCTTCTTCTGATTTCCAGGGAATCGAGTATAAATCAGCTAAGACAAAGAAAGGAATGATTGTAGGATTTGTTACATTTGAAACCACAGAGCAAGTGAAAACTGGAATCGAGGTATTATCTACTTATCAAAATCGACATGATTTCTGCAACTGAATAGAACTAATTCAGTTTCTCTAATCAAACCTTGTTTCAACAGAAGCTGCAGGGGAAGCCATATGGGAATAGAACTTTAAAGATAGCAGATGTCATCCCAAGATCTTTTGACAGAAACGTGAAACCAAAAATGGTTTCAGACAATTCAGATACATTACAACCTGCAAACGAGGTTGAAGATGGAGATTCCGTTAATGACAGTTCTACCCCTGGAAGTTCTGTATTGAAGGGTAGAAGTGCCAGGGAAGTTGTGACTCCACTTGCCCATTTGTCTTACAAAGATCAACTGGAACACAAGAAGACTTCTCTTTCACAGACTATGAAAAAACTTGTGAGCAACACATACCCTAACAATTATTTTTCCCATTTCTTGATGAATTGGAATCACTGATTCACTTCTCACCTGATATAAACTTACTTTCTTCATCTTGTAGACTAGAAATGCACGTAAAGCTTGTCCCAATGGGGTTACACTACCAGATTGGATTCTTAATTCCAGGGAAATTGGTAATTTTCAGTTTTGCTAAGAATAACTTTATCAATTCATCATCTTTCTTACTATTTTGATATTCATTTTTTTTATGGTTGCAGGTGGTCTTCCATGCAAACTAGAGGGGATAATTGAATCACCACTTGTCAATGGATACAGAAATAAATGTGAATTTTCAGTTGGATATTCTTTACAAGGAAAACCTACAGTGGGATTTTCTTTAGGAAACTTCAGGTTCTTTGATTTGATAATTTACCATTATTATAAATATATAATTTCTTCCCATGAATTAAAAAAAAAATGTGATGAAAATCAGGGAAGGTGTGACAGCAGTTGAAGAACCTCTAGATTGTCCAAATGTTTCTAGAATCGGTTGCAAGTATGCTAAAATCTTCCAGAAGTTTCTAGAAAGTTCAACTTTCCCTATTTGGAATAGGATGAATAATACTGGATTTTGGCGCCAACTAACAGTAAGTTAAACCAGTATTTAAAATGATTTAATTGTAACAAACAACTGAAATCATAATCTTTTTGTTATAACCAGGTCAGAGAAGGAAGGACACCTGGCAAGATTGCTGAGGTGGAATCTGGTGAATCAAATGTTTCAGAAGTCTTGGTTATGGTTCAGGTTGTGTTTAGTTTTTGCTTATTTAGAAAGTTACAATTTATCTTTTTTCCATTATTGACCTTTTGATGTATTTACACAGATTTGCTCAAAGGGTATTGATAATGAAGCTATAAATGTTGAACTTGAGAAAATGGCTGAAGCTTTTGTAATCGGAGCTTCTACAAATTCTCCTTCTTTGCCTCTTACTGTGTTGGTTGTTCAGGTATATTTTAAATGTTACATTATTCATTATTCATTTTTATTAAAAAATATATATTAATATTCTTTTTTTCTGTAAATATATATGCAGGATCATCAAGGAATATCCAATGTGGCACCAGCTGATGCTCCATTGCGCCACCTGTCACTTACCAAGGGTGAAAGTAGATTAATGGAGGATTCTGAAATTGTTGCAGAAGCTAGAATTCAAGATTATATAAATAATCTTCGGTTTTTTATATCCCCTACAGCTTTTTTCCAAGTAATATATTATATATAAATATAACTTCTCTTTTGGCCTTTTCACTTTACATATAAGTTCTAAGGATCTGTTTGGTTAGACAATGGAATGGAATGAGTCATTACATTCCATCATCATGTTTGGTTGACATGTAGGAGTGGAATGAGTTCTCATATATATATTTTTTATATTACATGTAAGTACAATATATAATTTAAACTTTATTTTATACATTATCTTAATATAAATTAACAAACTTTTAGTTACAAAAATAAAAGGGCAAAAAAGCATGGTTTTCACTTTTTCTGTAGTTTGCCCAAAACACAAAATTAAAGGTAACAAAAGAATATTAAAACCCAAATAAGTTATAAACATATAAAAATACGTTATATTGCACTTTTTTCATAACTAAAATAATGAAAATTTGTGTCATTAAAAATTACATAAATAAAAATACGTTATATTGCACTTTTTTCATTCCATTCCATGACCGAAGGAAATAAAAAAAAGCACCCTGTAGATTACAAAATGGAAGGAATCACATTAGTGGAATGGAATGGACGATTCCATTCCTTCACCAATTCCATTCCACCTAAATTTTTAAAAATCTTGTAGGTGAACACCCTTGCAGCAGAAAAACTGTACTCACTTGCTGGAGATTGGGCCAATTTAGGGCCCAATACCTTACTTTTTGATGTATGTTGTGGGACCGGAACCATTGGGCTTACTCTAGCCCACCGTGTTGGAATGGTAATTTACTTTTTTGTCCATTAAAAAAATCTTTAAGTTAAGATTTTAATGTGATGTGATCCATGAACTTAAAAAAAACTATTATTTATACATTTCACATGCTTATAGTTTTCTTGATTTGGAATTTTTTTAGGTGGTTGGAATTGAAATGAATGCTTCTGCAGTAGCTGATGCAAATCGGAATGCTGAAATAAATGGAATCAAGAACTGCAGATTTGTCTGTTCAAAAGTGAGGATAATAGGAAAATATGGAAAAAACCGAATTTCTCAAATTTTATAGACATCAATGTTATTTATTTATTTATCTCATTTTTTTGTGTAACAGGCGGAAGATGTGATGGGGTCGCTATTAAAAGAGTACTTAACAAAAAAAGTAGACTCTGGAATCAATGATTCCGATGTTGTTGGTATCAAAGAAGAAGCAAGTGCTTCTGAAGACAAAGCAGTAGATGGGGTTGAGGTTAAAGATGAGAAAAAGGATATCAAAGAAGTTAAAAAGGAGGAAGAGAGTAATTGTGTTGATGAAAACAATAATAATAATAATAATAATAATAAGATGCATTATTTTGAAGGCATGAAAGAAGTTAAGAAGGAAGAAGAGAGCAATTGTGTTAGTGAAAGCAATAATGACAAGAAGTTGCATTATTTTGAAAATGTGGTTGCCATTGTTGATCCTCCCCGTGTTGGACTTCATCCCACTGTGAGTAATCACTTATTTTCATATAATTTTCAATAGACAAAACTGCAAATTTGGTCCCTATGGTTTGTCAAATATTGGAATTTTGGTCCAAAATGTTTTGGAGTTGCACCACTGATCCAAAAGATTTCGTTTGTTGCGACTTTGCTCCATTTCAGAATTATATGTTTGAAATGACATTTTTTTCCTTTCCCTTTCCTTTTCTTTTTATTTACTTTACTATTTGTTTAAGACAAAACTGCAAAAATGGTCCCTGTGGTATCCATTTTTTTTGAGGTTTTGGTCCCTCAGTAAACTGAAATGACTGTAATACCCTTGGGGTGTTTATTTATTATTTTTCTTTTCATTTTTTTTTTTAAATCTAATACTTATTTATTTATTTAAACAATTAAAAAATAAGAGGGGTCCAAAAGATTTCATTTGTTGCGACTTTGGTCCGGTGCAACTCCAAAATATTTTGGACCAAAGTCCCAATTTTTGACAAACCATAGGGACCAAATTTGATATTAATTTTTTAAACAAAATTTCAAAACATCAAATAAGTAGTTATTATTTATTTTTAAAAAATAATAAAAATATTTTATAGTAATTATATGTTATAATTTCATCATATTTACATTTTTGTGACCGTAGGTGATCAAGGCTCTTAGAACTCATTCACGTTTAAGGAGGCTTGTGTAAGCAAACTAAAACTAATTTTACATTCTCGACCTTTCTTTTTCCTATTTGTGACGATATCTACCTTGTTTTTTTGCAGTTATATTTCGTGTAATCCCGAAAGTCTAATGGCAAATGCAATTGAGCTTTGTACTCCTTCTGATGATAGTAATGAGAAAGGGAATAAGAACAACAGAGGATGGAGAAATATGAGTAGTGCTGGTTTGGCTCGACATAGAGCCAAATCTATGCCTAATTCTGAACCCTTTAAGCCGGTCAAAGCCATGGCTGTTGACCTTTTCCCACATACCCCACATTGTGAACTTGTCATGCTTCTTGAAAGGTGAACCAAGTAAATCTTACTTCCTAACATTTTTTTTTTACCCGAATATAAAAAAAATGTTATTTGTATTATTTAGTGATTATGACAATGTTTTATCTTTTTTGTATTTTTCAAGTTTTGTATTCATGAAAACGTTTTTGTATTGGTTGAGGATCTTAAAAGGAGGATATGGTTGTCGCGTTTAGCGAGAGAATAGTGAAAGATGTCTAACTTTTTGGATTTGAGCTGTATTTTAATTTTTATGTATAGATACTTTTTGGGCTATTTCTTTTTTATTTATCCGGACAAAATGAATTAAGCCAGAAATCCTAACAAAATGTAGTAAGACACTAACCCATTTAATTATATTTGCAAAGTTTAGTAGATGATGTGACAGTCATAAAGTAGTTTATAATTTTTTTTTAAATGGCAATATAATTTGTAAGATTTTCAATAGGTTTTAAAAATATGTATATAATAATGTAAAACAGGAGGACACAAACTAATAAACTTTCTAATTAGACTTACGATAGGGCAAAATTTATAAAAGGTCTTGACATTTTCATATGATTACCCGAAAATATAGGTTTTCTTTTTCCGGGAAAATCACTGGTGATTTGATTTTGTTTTTATCATTTAAGCTATTGTTTACTTGGTAAAATCAGTTAAAAAGTTGAAAATGTTGCATTAATTTCGGACCAATATAGTTACAATTACATCATATTCAACTGTTTTAGAGTGGATAGTGAGTTGTTTTGCAGTTGTTGGACTGACTTTTTTCGACAGGACTATGCCAAGCTAAAACAACTCAAGTGAATTATTTCAGATTATCAATGGTTTTTCTATAGCAAACACACACACACACAAAAAAAACAGTAATGACTTTTCAAGTAATAGGGTTAAAAATGTAACAATGATAGATTCAAGGGTTAATGTCAATAAAAGGTAACCAACTATCTAAAATGTTTAAAAACATCATTAGAAGGTAACAATCTATTGTCTTGTTTTTGATTGGGAAAATGTTACTCTAGCACAACTAAGTTTGGTCATTTTACCCATTTAGTCACTCAAGTATTTTTTGTACAAGAGACAATTAAAGTTAAATTTTACCTATCAATTACGTTATTATATGACCTGATAGAGCCGGTTACTTTTATGATGTGACATTTTCAATTACATTTCTTTAATCTTTTAAGCGCCACCTAACTTTTCCTCATTTGTTCCTATTCATCGTCGTCTATGCTTTTATCTTTGCCCTTGCTTTATAAGTTGTACCGAAAGCACCCTTACCCAAAACCTCTATAGAAGCCCTAAAAAGATCCTCCAAATTTAATGCCAGGTTACTCCCCTAAAAAAACAAGGTCCCCGTTTCCATTTCCAAAAACTTCTCGATTGCAAATTCTCCATACCTTTTTTATTATTATCTATTCTCTACAAATCCTGATTTTTAGCTTTTGTCTTCAAATGCCAAACAACCAACAACAAAGCCAATAGTCCTAGCACTAAGATGGAACACCCAATCACGATCCCAAGGATTGCAGATTCACCCAGTTTTGAGGGTTTCTTTTGAGGAGAAAGAGCACGAAGTGATAATGAATCAGAATCAGGAGCTAGGTTGTTTCCAAGAAAAGCTGAGTTAGGAAATCTTTTGAGAGATCGAGCCAGGGTTCAAGTGAAAAAGTTGTTAGACAAATCTATAATCTGTAAAATCGAGATACAGAAATCGGGGATTTCAAAACAGTGAGGTGAGTCAGACTTGAAATGGAAGGAGAAATGCTTCCGGTGAAACCATTATTGAAGAGATTAAGAACAGAGAGATTGCTCCAGACGGATAAATTCAATGGTAATTGACCAAAGAAGCCATTGCATTGAAGATGTAGAGATGTTAAGTTTGTTAGATTGGAGAAATCAGACATAAATGGACTGGATAATCCATTGGATCTTAAACTCAAGATATGAAGATTTGATAGTCGACTGAGAGTGTTTTGAGGATATTTTTGGATGAAATCGAGTAAGATCTTCTTATCATCAATAAGTTTGTAACATTCGTAATTTGGTATGTTTCCTTTTAGCCATTAATGCAAAATCTATATCTTTTTGGTCCCTAGCTAGTACGCGAGGCGTACTCTATGAGTACGCTTAGCGTACTAGCTCTTTTCTGGATGCGGGATTCATCCACGTACGCGAGGCGTATGTGGAGTACACATGGCATACGTGGTGTAGGGGCAAACCCTAATTTTTAGGGTTTACACCATATTTAAGCAACTTATACCACCTTTTTACATTCTATTGATCAGCCTCCACCACTCTCTACCCTAAAAACAAAACCCTAAGTGCTTTTGGTGAGTTTTGAGCTTGAAAGTGTGTTTGGAAGTAGCTTGTGCTTGTAGATCCAAAGTTATTTGCACCTTAGCAAGACATTTGAGGTAAAAAGCTCTCATCTTGATGATTCTATGTGCTAGATCCAACTTAGGGTGTTATTTATGCATTTTTTTAGTACTTTGAGCTAAAGATGAGTTTATGGTATACTCCAGAAGCCATGTATCTAAGATCTTAGCTCCATTAAGGTCCCTTGTCCATAAAAATGCAAACTTTATGTAAGATATTGGTCCATGCAAGTTTTAAGAGTCTTATTTAATGGGTTTTAGGTAAAACAAATAAACTAGAAAACAATTCCTAAGTTCACATGCAGCCTACTTTGGATCTATGTTTTAACTATTGAACATACAACTTTGAATTGCAAAACAAGAACCCTAGAGGAGAGAGGCTAATTTCGAAATTAACAAACTAGGGTTTAGAGTTTACATACCTTTCAATTGTTATAGCAAACAATTGATATTTCCTTGATCTTGATCTTGATCTTCTTGGAAGCTTTAGCACCACAAGTGTAATGCCTCTAATGGAATCACACCCAATGACTAGCAAGAAGGAAAGTAGAAGAAGAGAGAGGAGAGGGAGTATGCAATTTCGGCCAAGGTATTCTTCCAAAGAATCAGTACCTCAAATGTGAGCCAGGAGGCTCCTTAAATAGCTGAGGGATCTAGGGTTTAGGGAAAACCCTAGTTATCCCTTGCTTAGGGCCTAAGCAAGATCCAAGGCCTTATCTTGGACCCCTTGGACGAATTCTCTAGGGTTTCCCCTAGGGTTTTCGTCCACCCCCTTCCAAGGGAGTTCTGGATCCTTCCATTCAACTATCAGTTAATTGCAAACTAGTCCCTGCACTTTATAATTAATTCTTTTAACCCCAAAATCAATTCTGATTAATTTCTGGCTAACAATTAATTAAACATAATGATTTCTAATTAATATATTAATCCATTAACATATTAATAAATCAATTATATATATATTAATTTATTAATCTTATAAATTAATATCTCTCCTTTCATAATTTCCTTGTCCAGTTGCTAGGTTGAGGGCAACCCAAAAGGACTGTGCTGCTATCAATTCAAGTACATACCAATTATAGTTATGAGCTTAGACACCTAATCCAACAGTCTCCCACTTGGATAAGTCTGTAACTATAATTGCTAGTATGCCTTCTAAATTTGACCAGCAAATTGTAGCTTCCAAAAAGCTGCTGCCGAACTCTGACCCAGTCAGTTACGTGTCCTAAAATAAGTGTTCATATAACCCTTCGTTCTGCTTGATATCCCCAGACAAAAGACATGGAATGTAATCAATCTGTTTGTCCAGAATCTATGTTTCCCGATTCCTGATTTGTGATGATGTAGGACTTCTAATCGAACACATCAATTTAGTCCTGGCTGGGCCCAGCACATAAGTCAACACCAAATCATCGAGGGGCCCACAGATATCGCTTTTCCTGTTAGGGCAAAAGGAACGAATAAACGTTGACTCATATGCTTGTATCTTTTACTCATCAAATTATGCATGACAATACGTTTTATAACACCAAGTTACTGATGCGTTTTCGTATCACCAATGCACAACCGACTTGTAAATTACAACTCATATATCTTCGTTTCAAGATTATAAGATATTATCGTCTCAGTATTACTCGTGATGAATTCCATGAAGTAATACTCTGAGCGAGGTTTTATCCAACACTCAAATCTCAATTTCTGAGTACTCATGAACATTGCAGCAATTCTATTGCCATGTCTATCCTTAGACAATCTGCAATCCAATTCATGACAGTCTTAATTCACTACTTACTTCCAAGAGTACGAGCGACTGTGGAGTTTGAATAATCTCATTATTCAGGAAGTAAAACATGCAAAAATGAACACAATAATAAACAATTGACAAAAGGTAGTAGCCAAACTTATAAATAATACTTTATTGTTTAATCACCAAAAGTCAATTACATTTACTTTGTTACAAGTTTCAAAAACTAATCTAACTACTAAAACTAATATCATCTTTCAGTCCTATGCTCCGAGCATGCTGAATATGCTTAGCCCTACTCAGACCCTTTGTGAGAGGATCTGCTGGGTTATCTTCAGATGACACCCTCTTTACTATAAGATGGCCTTCTTCTACTCTATGTCTGATGAAATGGTACTTTCTGTCGATATGTCTGGTCTTACCATGATCTCTTGGTTCCTTTGTCAAGGCAACCGCTCCTTCATTATCGCAGAACAGTTCCATAGGCTCCTGGATGGTTGGAACAACTCCGAGATCCCCGATGAAGTTCCTCAACCAAGCTGCTTCTTTCGACGCTTCACTTGCTGCTATGTACTCTGATTCACAAGTAGAATCAGCCACCGTATTTTGCTTGGAACTCTTCCAAGTAACTGCTCCTCCATTCAGTAAAAACACCCAGCCTGACTGAGAACGGAAGTTATCTCTATCCGTCTGAAAGCTGGCATCACTGTAACCATCTACTCTCAAAGTATCACTGCCACCAAGCACAAGGACCCAGTCCTTTGTCCTTCGCAAATACTTGAGTATGTTCTTAACTGCTACCAATGAGCTCTACCTGGGTTTCCCTGATAGCGACTGACCATGCTCAAAGCAAATGCCACATCAGGGCGAGTACATGTCATAGCGTACATGATCGATCCGACAGCGGAAGCATAAGGTACACGACTCATGTCATCTATTTCAACATCTGTACTCGGGCATTGAGTCTTACTCAATTTGGTATTGCTCTGGATAGGTAGCTCTCCCTTCTTGGAGTTTTCCATACTAAACCTCTTTAGTACCTTATCCAAGTATGTGCTCTGACTAAGTCCAATTAGTCTCTTCTTTCTATCTCTCAATATTCTAATCCCAAGAATATAGGCAGCTTCTCCAAGGTCTTTCATGGCAAAACACTT